ATTTTGACGCAAAGTATCGATCTATCAAAAGCTATAGTTTTTCGATCATTATGTTTATGAAATTTTTGATCACAAAAAGTTGATCGAAACCATTATCAATACCATACAATAAGAAAAATACGACGTGTGTGATTTTTTGAAGTTAGCACAAAATATAGTTCAGCGTGAAAATTAAAAAAGAAGTAGATCAAAGAAAAATCAGCCATGATAACTGAAAATATACTTATATTGAATTTTAGACATTTACAGATATAAAAGAGATTTTACTTGAATGTTGATCAGCTTGAACTTAGGTAAATTCAATATTTTGATCTTTAGAAAGAAAACAACTAAATATTACATAAATAATCTTCTATTTGAAAAAATAAGATATTCACGAAGATATTTCATTTCATATGTTTTCTCAATTTCATTCTTATCTAATCTTACAAGAATCTTCTTCAATTCTAGTTCTGGAGCAGATCTTGTTAATTCAAATATAAACGGATTAAACGAAATGGACAAAGTTTTTAAGTTTTTAAAATATTTTAAGAATTTCATTACAGTATCTGCATACCAATCATAAATGTTAGAACTAAATCTCCAGTCGAATTTCAATTGTAGATCTTGAAGATTTGAAAAATAAATATAACTTCGTTTTCCAAATTGTTCAACTATTAAATTTCCATCTATAACCAATCGTTCAATTTTTTCATTTAATTTAAAAGTAAATTCACTTTTTAATAAAGGTAATTCTGTATTAGTTAAAATTAAATGTTTCAAGTTTGGTAATGAATTCATTAACCATTGTTTTTCATTTTCTAATGATCCACAAGTTAAATGAACAGTTGTTATACGATCTAATATTATATCAATGTTATTGGTTTTATTTTGAATTATATTAAGATCTTCTGTGTTTTCAGAATCATTAAAATAATCAATAGATATTACAAGTAATTTTGGCATGTGAATTTTAATTAATTTCAAAAGATTTAAATTAAATTTTTTAAATTTAATATATTTGACATTGAACCATATATCAGGATTATTCATAAGAATCGTTGAACTATTAGAATAAATATGATCAAAATCAATAAAATCATAGAGTTTATCAAAATGAAATGGTAATGTATATAAATATTTATCATGCATTCCAATTATCCAATTATGATCAAACCAAAATTCATTTCGAAATGTTAATAAAATTCTTTTCACATCAATTCTATCTTGAGTTAGTACTGCATGTAGATGAAATTGTTTAAGTTGTGTCATTAATTGTAAGAATTGTTGCTGAAGTTGAATACCATTGAAAGGAAAATCATTTGATGATGTTATATAACAACCAATTAAATTTAATGATAAACAAAATAATGATGATGAAAATTGTGTTATAACATTTATTAATTGATGAAAATCTATTCGTCTAGCAGTAAATCTATTCGTATCATACATTGTATCATTGAATGTCAAATAGAATTGTTTTAATTTAATTTTCATATTATTCGACCATTGATTTTGTCCATGAAATTCATATGGTGGATTTGATTTAATATTTAAATATTTTAAATTAGGTGTATATTCAATAATAGAAAATAAATCCATAAATTGTCTTAAATTTAGTATTAATGAGTGAAGATTTAAATTTAATTTTAAATTATTAATAGGTTTTAATGAGAATGATTGAATACAAGATGAATATTCAAATATATTCAAACAGTTTTCATTATTAAATACTTTTTGTAATAAAAGTTCTTGATGAAGCGAATAATCATAAAATAATGGTGTAAAATATAATTCATTGGATTTTATTTTTAATGAATGTAATTTTTTAAATTGATTACTTTTTACGATTAATTCTAATTGTCCTTCTGCTAAATTATATGGTGAAGATATAATAATTGATTTTAAATTTGGAAATAATTTTAATGAAATAGATGGATCATTTTTAAGAATTTTCAAAGATTGAATTTTCGAACCAACTTCTGAGAAAATATTTCTCCAAAAGATTGAATTTGATATTGGTAATTCTAAACTTAAATAACGTTGATGTTGTAAAATGAATTTATTTAATCGTTCAGTTAAATAAAAAAATGAATAAATAATATCATTACATGATAAATAATCAAATATTTCTAAGATTATTTCAGTAGGTAATTGTTCAAACCATGTATGTGATCTGAGTATCTTCGTGCTATTATTACCCATATTAATGACTATTTTGTAATATCATACATGCTTGTCTAAGAGTAAGAAAAAATTGTTATCATATCATCATCCGTAAACAAATGATAATTCATATCAGCTCTTTTACTTTTAAATGAAACAACAAATTTTTGTTTATGATTCTCAATAATAAGAAATATTTTTAAGATTGTCCAAAATTTTAATCTTCAGTTGAAATAATTGTAAACATAAATACTAATACTATTATAATATTATCCTCAGAATACTACTGTCTCATGAACGCATTCAAGGCTATTCGGTTTTCTCAGAAAATAGCTTTAGTAGATGCATTTTCATGTTCATTCATCTTCGGATAAATGCACTCGTTAATTTTTTCGGTATGTGCTGCCAGTTGTCTATCTCTTTCTTATATGTATTGTACAGTAGGAACAAGATAATGAAACGAAATATCGATTTATTAAAACCAGATTTTCTTCAATTAATATTCCTGGTTCAAATTATTATAATCGATGAAACTATGGTACCACAGATATACAACCACTCATAAGTAATATAAATTCGTTTTCGGGTAGTAAAGTTATCTGTCTGTCTACTACAAGAAACTTTGCTACATTGCGTTGAAATTCTCAGTCAAATCTAATGTTCCAGTCTCTAATAACAAGATTCTCTCTAAATCACATTTTTTTATCGAGAGCTGAGAGATCCTAGCTTTTTTAAGATTCCAATGTATGGAGGTAAAAAATACATTCTTTTTTTTTACGATGTATCTTGATATAGGCCAAAAATTAGTAAAATAAATATAACTGGAGAAGAAGGAGCCAACAATATGATCCATTTCAGAATTGCTTTAGTCTCAATAGATCATATCTAACAACACATGTGTCATTTCCAAGAGTTTTATTTCATTCGAAAAAAATTCTTGTTGCATTTATCAACCAATGAGTAATACCGTAAAAGTAAAATTTTCTTTTCATTCATGAAAATTAAAGTGTACTATCTATGAAAGTCGAAATTTTCCGTCTGATGACAATAGAATTTCTAGATTTTAATCAATTTTTCACGGGGATTCAACAATCTGTCTCTCAATAAAAAAAAATGACATATGCATTCGAAAAATAAAACTATTTCAGCTTCACTATTAAATAATCGATCTTTAAATTGTAAAGTTATTAGGCAATTAAAAACTAATTTGATTTAAACAAAACAAACAACACAAAGAAACATGTTGTCAATAGTTTGTTGATAATGTTATTGAACATAAGTCATTGTTTAATAGAATTAAAAGATGAATATGTGACAACCATTTATCAACAAGAAGAACATTGGCCATTGATGCTGAGAAATCATGTCGTTATACATTAATTCATTGATTTTGAACTTTTGAATGCTCTACAAAAGAAGTCTGTTAGGAGTTTATTGGATGTGGGCGTCGGAAATATTTCATTACTGTTCTATTCCAATTAGATGTATAAAATGTTACCTCCTTTTGTGCTTGATGTTGGCTTTTTAGTTTTTTATTACATGTATCGTACATAAGCACGTGTTGATGAAGATTCTCATAGCTAGACTAATGATACAGTAAAAGAAATAATATTGCACTAAATTTCAATGAAAAATCTTTCAATTGAAAAAAAAAATATCATTACATAAATCGTATCGTACATGCTCTGTTAAATCTCACAATGTAGCAGACGAATAAATACCAAGTTTTGGGTAATAGTTAAAAATTGTTTGAAGAATCTCATTGTTATGATCTAAGATCGGCATAATGAATAGTAATTTCAATCAAAGACATACTACGAATGTCCTAATCAAATTAGGATTTCGACATGTCAAACAGTGTATAAAACTGTTTCTTATCACCTATAAGTAACGTTAGTTCGATGGTGGAAATCAATTTGTAAATTTTTAAAGAATTAGGAAATTACAAAACGACAGACGTATAAATAATAAAAAATACGTCTCGACTGATTTTTTTTTCTTTTTATTTAACTAGGAGGAGCAGCAAAACTGCATTATTGGACAAAGTTAATAGATTTTGGAGGATTTTGTGACATATATAGATGAATTCAGTTTTTTATACTGATTTCAAATATATCATTTTTTTTGTTAAGAACTTTAATTTCTATTGTATATACAAGTTACAATGCCATCTAAAACAAAACGAGAAAGAACAATATATCTTGAGACTTTTTTATGCCATTCGATGGAAGAAAGAAAGAGGTTGCATTTGATATATAATTCAGATTTAAACAGCTGAAATCAGGAGAAGAACTTTCCATATAAAAACTACATAGCATAACGCTATTAGAAATCGATAATATCGAGTTTTAAGTCAACAATGCACAGCTTGAATGAGACCTAAATATCTAAATCGAACAGCAATCGACTTCTGACAGTGAACGAAACTGTTGGAAAAATAAAGAAACCCAATTTCGAGAGGGGTCTCGATTTCATCACTTAATGTATAAAAGAAGCGTATTAGTATCTATCGATGTTTCATGGATGTACAGTTTTTTGCGTGATGCAGGTTGCAGCCGCATCATCTTTTGGTAACTGCTTGTTTTTTGTCTTTCCTTATCAAAATATTCATCGACGTAAAACCTCATGCATTATTCCTATCAGCTCGATTGTCGTCAGCTGTTCCCTAGACTGAAAGGATAGGGTCTAGAAACCGAAATTCACCTGTGTCTGTCTGTCTGTAACACTTGGTACAAAGGACCATAGTCGTGGTACAAGTGACCATTCTTATGGCTCAAATGAGCATGTCTGTGTCACAATTGGCCATATCCGTATTAGAAATGGCCATTACTTTGGCATAAATCACCATTTTAGTCGTTATAATGAATTAAAGCATAAACTTAATCATATACATTAGCATCTTTCAATATTTTATATGAATTGTTTGAATATATCTATAGTGTGTAATATAGAGCATGTTACAAATATCAATGATTTCTCCTAAACTCATCATTATACAGAATTCATTTTTATTTAAAAATACAAAGACATGTTTGTCATCATTCCGTCAGTCTAGGGCCAAGTGAATCGACATTCAATGTCGATGAACATTACTTGTGGTTTATTGGAAATAAATTTTGCTTATCTGTGGACTCTTCGGTAAAGAAACGAAAAATACTCGTTTGCTATCGTTACTCGATGTTGATGGTGAATGTAAGTAGGCAAGAGGCATATACGGCGTTCTTTTCTCCGTTCTTTTTGGTCTATCTGATCATTGTATAATAATGTATTTTGTGTGAAGAGCTAGAAAAGGAGTATTACAATAACTTTATTACACGTATTGCCTATTTTTTTGATGAAGCCAACAAAGCTATGCAAAAGCCTAAGTTTCAGTGATTCAGAAGTATTCTAAACTGTTAACATGGTTTTTTGAATGCCTAACGAAAGATATTTCTGAGAAGCTCGAAATGTCAAAGTTTTCAACGCAATGTTTTTCAAGAAGTATATTATAATATATCTTATTAACCTAGATACATTAGAAAATAATCATTTTTTCTTTTTGTCTGAAAACTTTTTTACATCTCTTTGTTACGAATAGGCAACTTATACAAAAAAAAACACCTAGCTTGTATTTTTTTGAATTTTCAAAGACGAAGTTAAAAACTTATGAGTTTTAGAAGTTACTCTTCTCACTTTAATATGACCTGAAGATGTTTGATTTATGCAAGCCATTTTAAAATTCGTAAAATTTCCTAAACTTTTTTTTTGAAAAACTTTCTTCTCTGTGCTCTATTTAGAAATGACAACAACAGGAAATAATATGTCAGAATACATCGATGTCGGCGCAGTCTACACTGCTCCTGGTCACGATCCACCTCTAGAAGTCACTCGAATCGAAATCCGTGCTGGTCGCATCGTCTCTCTATGTCCGTTGCCTATGTAAGATTTACAAACCGACGCCAGTCATCTTCTTGCTGTATCTGCTCTTTCTTATGAGCCTCGTACAGATCCATACGTATAAGCCACGGTAGCATTTGCAATCATGGCCGAGAGCAGCCTATGTGTCACGAATCATTGCCATACTACTTTGGACACTGAGCGTCTATTCAACGAAGCCGAAGCCGTATCACATGCTGCTCGTGATGTTGGTATTCGTGTTGCTTTTGTCGTACCATTTGTCGAACAAAACTTGCATGTTTATGAAAACATTAAAGAACTACTGCCATTTCTTCCATCCGAAGACCACGCGATGATATTAAACTCGTCAACAAAATTGAAAGCTATGATAAGTGAGACAATGGCGTTGTTCGACAAAATTACTTCACTAGAGCACGAATTTTTTCGTGTGCAATTCGGTCCAGTCGGTCCTCAATGGCTTTCTGACGAAATCCAGGCCTTTATAGCAAAACGTTCGGCTGAGAGCGGTCGTTGAATCCATATGCATGTACTTGAAACAGACTGGCAACATGAATGGACCAATGCTCACTATTCACAAAGAGGCTTGCTTTCCCATCTCGACAAACTCGGCTTGCTCTCACCACGCCTTACCATCGCCCAGGGCGTTCATCTAACGAAAGAGGAATGCATTCTTTTGGTTGAGTGTCAGGTGATTGTATCTGTTAACACTTTATCGAATCTTCGATTTGGTTTTGGCTTAGATGGAATGAGCTTTGATGATGATGGCGATATGCTCAAAGAACTTCGGCTGTTTTGACATCTACAACGGGGTTTGAAGGAGAGCGAGTGCTCAATGAAGCCGACCTTTTCGAAGCAGCTTGCATCACGGGAAGAAAGACAATTGTTGATGATGATGGAGGTCGATCGGAAGTTGGTGCTCCGGCCGATTTCATCATACTTGATGTGCGTCGAATGATGCAAGATCGTGTTTGATCTTCACCACCAAAAGATATGCTGCCGTTATTACTCAGCCGAATGAGCAAGAAAGATATTGTGAGAGTTATTATTGGTGGACGTACGACCGTAGGTAGAGGAAAATGTATAACAGTCGATCTACCAGCACTCAATGGAAGACTCATAGCAGAAGCTCGCATTAACGCATCATCTGAAGATGATAACGGACAAATCGAAAGAATATGAACAGCAGTAGAGAAATTCTATTGCTGTGAATTTCATCGTGTGAAAACAGAAATATGATTGTACTCATATTATCAATTAACTTCTTTTTTTTTCAAATTTTCAAATATTTACGAAACATTAATAATCGAACTTGCTATTTCATAATAATCTATAATAGTATAACGCATGTATCACTCAAAATCTTCAATCTGTTGTAATTAATTTTATTTCAATTTAATATCAACTTCTCATATATCTTTTATAGAAAAAAATCAGAAATTACAGAAACTATTTTGAGTTTTGTTCTACAATTCATTATCTATTACATCATAAGAAGTAAGATTTGTCGTGCAATTGTTTTTGACAATTTTTCGAAAATAAAGGTACTTTTCAAATCGATCTCTCAAGTATACCAAAAAGTAATTTTCATTGTTTCCATAATTTATACTCTGCGCTCTTCTTGAATCTGAAATAAGAATGTTGATTGAGAATCTTTGTAAACTGAATTGATATTTCTCAATATGATCATCATGTATTCAAGAACTATTTATGTAACTGACTAACAGATAACAAACTTTGTTATCTACCATATACACATGTATTCCTTTTTCAACATGATTTGCCAAGTAGAAAATATCGAGTATTGAACATTGCTGAAACAGAGAGAATAAACAAAGTCAATCTATAATTACTTATGATATAATTGGTTACGATGTAGTACTACTAACATACTGAATCCATCCATGCTACTCAAGTAATAATTCAAAGCAGAAAAAAATATCCGCATGCTATTTGTTCCATTTTTATCAATGCGAGTGAGTCTTGGATCCGTGGAGGCACCAAAAATGTCATGTACTATGCCGTATGATTGAATAAAATCGATTGCTTTCAGAGCAAAAATTCTAGCAGAATCTAGATGCATAAATATGAATGAACGTACTAGAAATATTCTGAATGAAGAAATAGTCGAGTTCTTAAATCTCAAATTATTTTTCCACGCCGCATGGCATGAATAGAACGCGCCATCTCGTTGCCGTTCATAGCACTAAAAGGAAAGGATAGAGACAGAGAAATCGTCGCAAGAAGACTAATCTATCTCACTCAAAAGAACAAGATAGTAAGATGAAAAATAAGTTTTAAAACATGCTGTACTTTCGTGAATGAAGATATGACGTTAAGTGTTGCTACCATCTAATTGAAGAATACCAAGAAGGAGATATGCAAGCTATACAAATTAAAATAATGAATAAGAAACATGCAAAAAGAAAAGAATGAGAATTATTATATCGATAACTCCATTACAATTAGGTATGCACCAGTGCCAGTTAACTGGGTACCCAGTCGGACTGGGGTACCAGTCGGACTGGTACCCAGTGCGACTGGGTGACCCAGTCGGACTGGGTATCTATATAACTCAATGCATTATCAAATAAATAGCGGTACTCTTCGTAAGCCATTATGATGTATATAGGGATACCCTCTATAAGTCATTATAGGATACATAGGGATACCCTCCATAAGTCATTATAGGGTATATAGGGGTACTCTTTCTAAATCATTATAAGGTATATAGTAGGGATGCAATGGTGACGATAACCGTAAGTACGGTTATCGGTNCTAGTAAAAACTCCTAAAGGATGTTGATTCCTATCTTTTTCTTCAAAAATTGTGAACATTTTTATTTTATCCCTAGAGCGCATAACATACAAGATGCACAATACATATCAATAACTACGATAAAACAAATTGAAATATTTTCGCATCAGTCCAATTGTACAGACTGACTTTCTTTGTTCATGATATAAATTTATTCAAAGTTTTTTTATACGGATAAGGTAAGCCAATACTACTGTTAAATATTATTGTTTGTGTCATAAAAGCAATTTTACCTGTTATCAAATAAAAACAAGTACATGTGTAACATTTCATAGATAATTTTTAGGTGTCTTCCAAGAGAATAATAAGAATAAATGGAAAAGTGAACTACATGAATGATTCTGTATTGATATACATAGAGCAAATTTTCAAACACCGAATACTGGTTTTTGCAAGAAAGTCGATGTTTCGGTACTCATTCAGGTCAAGAAATACAGGTTGTTTCGGACCAGAAAAGGGCGTGAATGTGGGTTTCGGTAAGGATGCGACTGTGGGTCTGGGCCTGGTACATCCAGATTTTCTCAAAGTTAAATCTCCTCTCGATATCCATTTCAAGTGTACATCGTTATATCAGCGTCTAGATTGGTATCTAAAAGTATTACATGATATTAAACGCATTATTTTCAGAGTCAACTGACTTTTTATTAATGACGACTAAAACGAAACCAAGACGTAAGGCTGGCACTTATAATTGCCATTGATAAATATGAATATTGTGAAGAATTACAAAATACAGAAAATGACGCAAATGATATATCATCTGTTGTGGAAAATATTGATTTCTTTGTTACAAGGAAACTGCATCTAAAATGTGCCAAGATCAAACCGGTAGTTATTGATTTCGAAGAATCCATAGAAGCCGGCGATATGGTCCTATTCTATTTTGGTGGATATAGAACACAATGGGAAGTATGCATTAAGATTTTTGTCGTTAGAAATTATTTGATACCAAAAGACATTCCCACTTTGAATGGTGCAGCATTAAATAAGAGTACGATTAATGCACAAGATATTCTTGACACGTTGAGTGATCGCAATTTATTTGTAATAATATTCCTATTGGATTGCTGTAGAAACTATCACTCACGTAATCCTGAAGTAGATGGACGTAACACGCATGGAAACGATCCAAAATCAGTAGGCCTTAAAGCCATGGACAAGATTGGTTCATTGATTGTCTTTGCTTGTGCGCCTGGAGCTTATAGCAATTGAAAGAAGAGGACATGGAAATAGGTGATTCATAAAGCATCTTTTATAACATGTTATAACTGCGAATGAAGACATCCGAATGATTTTTAAGTGATGTCACCCATGAAGTGATAGAAGAATCGAAACCAAAATCAATCCCATTTGTGAATGCATCATTATCAAAGAAGAATATATATATATTGATGTGATGAACAAAGAAATCAATCACTTAAATCGGGTAAAGATGCTAGTAAATTCTATCACTCTAATTTACAGCGAATCAAAATATTATCATAGCAACATTGTGAGTGAAGCATCTTAGCTCTTTAACTTTTAGAAAATGGCAAATGAGACATTGCTAGTATTTATAATTCTTTTCGGCATGACCTAAGGCAAATGTTATACACAACACAGCCGAAATAAGCGAAAAAACTTGAGCTCATGTCTAGATTCAATCTTTATAATGCTCATGAGTTTCTTAGTCTCATGCGGCTATTTCTTCATTACAAGAAAAGCTCGTCGGGCGTTCCAATGCTGTGAACCTCATATTTTGTGCTTATATAGAGGATCACTAGTGTAGTTCAACTCTAAAATGACATATGCGGATAGTTCTCTGGACGAATGATATTGCATTTTTAAATCACGCTATAAAATAGAATTATTGATAGTAAATTTTTCTTGTATCTCAGCTACACAACCCGTTTTTCAAACTGAAATTTTTATCAGACAAAGCAGAGATTAGGCTCCAACCAAGACAGAAGTTTGAGCATTATTGTTAATTGTTTAGCAAGGATGTTGCATTTAAAACAATCCGTCTCTCACGCTTCTGTATCCATCGAAAAGCTGATTTCAAGAAAATAGACTAAAAATTGTGAAACACAATGTTCTGTATATATTCGAATTTCAATTGAACGTCGACATATCATCATCGCTTCATAAAGACTTTGAAATTTAATGAAAGAGTAGCCATTCATTCTTTATTATAGGCATTTAGTAGAGATCATTGGGTGAATGCACTAACGAAGAAAGTCTCAAATTCATTTCTCTGCATTGGAAGCGCTCAGACTAATCGACTGAGTGAGCATTAATAGACTTCTTCACTATATCCCTAGAATGACGCATTACTACTTAATGCACAAATTTATTTCTTCTGAAATTGAAAGAGTACTAAAAAGTGAGAGTTTAGAATTTTCTACGACTATTTTAACAAGAATATTCAAATTATGATTTATGTCGGAACTGCTGTCTTTTGAAATACTATTATATCGTATATAGACAACATTTGCACACAAGGCCAACTCACCTATTGACATTAACAAATATTAGTATATATTTTTAAACTTTAGAACAACCACAACACTTGTTATAAAAACTGAACGACGATCTCAAATTAGACAAGAAAATAGGCCGTGAAGCGTTTGGAACAGTTCGTCGAGCTTACTGGTTGAGTCGATACGACATTGTTGCTGTGAAAAGATCGCACATTACTAAGTTGGACAAGTAAACCGAAATGAATTTTTCGAGAAACTTTCGTTGATGCATCGTCGTTGTTATCCTCACATTGTCAATGCCTATGATGCATGTACAGAAAATGGGAAGTATGCATCGATGATGGAATACATGTCATTAGGATCGTTGTATAAGATTCTACACAAAGGCAAATTACCATTAAATTGCTGTGTCTGATTGTCGATTACCTTGCAAGCAGCGAAAAGCATCAATTATTTATCTAAATTACAACAACTCATCTTACATCGTGATATCAAGTCATTGAAGTTTTTATTCGAGAAATCGCATGAAGCATATATTGTGAAAGTGTGTGATTATGGTTTGGCTCAAACACGAAATGAAACAACACGGCAAAGTCTATTGCATCATGCGTTACCGTGTACATTGCAATGGACTGCTCCTGAAATATGGCACTTAAAAAAGCACACCAATAAAAGTGATATTGACAGCTTTGGAATCGTTTATTGGAAACTAGCTGTGAACGAAATACCGTATGGTGGTCACCAAAATGCGGGCGTGGGTGAATAGAACCTAAACCCACACATGCACACACACACACCCCAGCCACACTCAATCAATCTACCTTGTTATAATACTTTTTTTAATATATGAAAACCTAAGAGATAAATTTTCACCCATAAAAGTACAAATAACTTTCTCAGCGTTATCGATTAAATATCAGAAGATACAGATTCGATTTCTGTGTTGATTATATGATCTTTCTTTAACATGGATGTCATGCCTATTAAAACATATCCATGTGAATGCATTTATTTAAATTCAGATGTATTTCCATGAACAAATAACATGATTGCTTATTTTTGAACTCTTCAATTTATATTATCATGTTCACACTCATCCTTAATCTTTCATATTGATTCTATTGTTCCTTGATAATCTTTATATTAGTAAAAATGAAATATCTGTATATATATTGTGGTAATGTTGTTCATCCATTCTCAAGATAGTCCTAATCTGATCCGAATGGAATAGAGCAATCGACAATTATTATCTCAATCTAAATAAACTTATATAAAATTTATTTAAAAGAGCAAGAATATAAAATATCATGACTAACTCGACTACAATCAATTATCGTTAAGTAAATTTTGACTGGGAGGAGTAGAGAGCTGTTGTTGCTGAACGTATGGAGGCGGTTGATATTGCTGAATGTAAGGAGGTGGTTGCTGTTGCTGAGCGTAAAAGGGCGGCCATTGTTGTTGAATGTAAGCGGGCGGCTGCTGTTGCTGAACGTATGGGAGTGGTGGCTGTTGCTGAACGTATGGCGGTGGTTGCTGTTGTTGGACGTAAATGGGTGAAATCTGTTGTTGCTGAAAGTGGATGACCTGTTGCTGTTGTGGAGTGCTGAGGTACTGTGCAGAACTAAAAGCATTTGTTGGCGCGTATGTACCTCGTTCCGATGAATGTTGCATGTAAGTATTGTGATGCGATGAACGGTAGTCGCGTTCTGATGGATAGCGATATTCAAGATCTTTCACTAATAATTGACAGAATGGATCTTGAGCAGATATACTTGCTTTGATCTTTTCGGCTTGGGCTTTGAGAATGGCAAGTGATCGTTGATAGTTACTCTCATTCATTGCTAGCTTGATTTCACGAGCCGTTTCCACTCGATTTCGTTGGATATCGAGTGTATAATTGACCCGGAGTAGATCAGCAGGTGGCTGAGCCGCCCGAATCAATTTAAAGGAAACAGGGGTGGTAGTTACTGTTTGACTACTGTTTGGTTCTACATAAGTAACTGTCACTTGACCTAACAAGTAACGATGTATGCATTCAGTTGTTCAGGGATAAAAATTCATCCTTACCAATAGTGTGCTGATCGTTGAGTGCTTGTTCATCGTGTGACATGATTTGTCGACTGGCCATTTCGATATTTTGATTGTTGTTCACTTTGGGTACATGTAATTGAAAAACAAGATTTCGTTTTTCATCGGAATTCAGATCATTTAATTTGAACGTAACCTTCTTCGAAGGCAAGTTTTTAGGTTCATGTTGATATTTCGAATGAACATGAGTAATTCTATATTCTTCATTGAATTCAATATTAACACGAAGTTGCTGTGCAACACAACTAAACAAACCACCTAGAGCCATGGCAAACGCAGGGCCAACTGCTTGTTGTTGGTCCTATTTAGGAAAGAATTATCTTAACGAACTCAAATGTGATAAAACTTACAATATAAGTGAATGTGCCTCCGTTGCCTTGCTCAGCCAATTGCACAAGCAATGCTGCCGTGTGATCAGGCCCATAGCCAAAAGTGTGACACAGAACACCTTCGGGTAATGTTCCCATCATTTGTGAGTAGTCATGTTTTTTATCATCTTGCCCATCAGTTAGTAAGAGCAAAGCACCCAATGGATTTCTTGTCTGGCGACTAATAAATAGATTGATACCCATTTGTAGTCCGCATCCTATATACGTACCACCTCCACCAGAGAGATCATTATTAATCGTTCTCATTAAAATTTGTTGACTAAAGTTGACAAGAAATGTCAATCTACTTTCTTAAAGCAATTTACTCACTTTTGCTGATTCATTCGTTTAAGTCCGTGTGAACGATTATAAGCTTGTGTGTTGAACGAAATAATAGCTAGTCGATCGAGATCATTCAATTGTTCAACAATATAAACTAAAGTTTGCTTTAATAATCTCATTTTCATGCCTGACATTGATCCACTTTGATCAACGACACAAACAAGGTCAATGGGAACACGAGATAATGCTATGGATTTGCTTTCAGATGGCACGATAGCTGAAGGTACTTGAAGAGTAACAAGACCATAAATATTTGATTCTTCCTGCGATATTTGAGCGCCATATTCCAATGTTGTTGAAACGGTGATCAATGAAAGATTGCTAGCAGCATTTGCCGCAGTAGTAGCAGTTTGTCGAGCAGAAGCAAGAGAATCGGATAGAGCTCGTACAGCAGTCTCGTCAATCGGATCTTCGACCGAAGCAAAGACCTATAAAACATCATCACAATCAGGTTATTTCGTGCTTTTAAAATGAAATCTAGTCCAAAAATCACTCACATTGACTGCAGCTGTATGATTGTGAAACCAGGAAATTGGAGGCGGCGCATGATATTGAATTGGCGGCTGTCTGGATCCCGCTAATAGTTCGACAATTGATGCATCAATTGCAGCTCGACACAAAGGACATTCTTTGTTTCGTGCTTGAATATTTGACACCAGACATTGCAAATGAAATTTGTGATTGCAAGTCAACGTTAACAGTGGCGAACCCGCTGCGAGAGCACTGAGACAAATCGAACAGTCATCCGTTGCATTCGATGGCGTCGATATTGAAGAAGCCGGCAACATACTTTGGTTTTTAAGCGTTACTAGTGATCTTAAAAAAGAGAATGAAAGAAGCGAACGAAAGAACGTGTCGTTTTTATACGTTTCAAGCATAGCTACAGTAATTGCATCACATCTATATTATCATATTGCAACGTGGCAAGATGATTCACTGAATAAATGCTGGCAATATGTTACGCATCACTATGATAGTTTCGATCGAACTGAAATAAAAGAACTGAGGTTGTTGTGACCTACATCTTCTTCAGATGCAGGCATAAGGTTTTTCCCTCGTCATCTATAGGTTTATACATAAAGGGTTTCTCATAATAACTGATAATGAATTATTAATGATATTTTTCATACTTTTTCATGATGTAGCGAGCTAAAACTTTTATCACATATATATATCTAATCAAGGTATTTTATTTCTGAAAATTTCAGCTCTCTACGTGGACAAGAAAAAGTATGAAAAATATCATTAACAATTTATCATCAGTTATTAGAGAACATCCTTTATAGCGAAGAAAAAGATGAAAAATTTCTTTCGTACTGATGATGTCGATCGTTTAGTTACTAACTACATTTCAAGTGCAGTAACTGATACTAATACAATACTAATGTGGTTAAAGCCATTTACAAATAAACGTATTAAGTGTAAACAACAATTAGAAACAAAAAATCTAATCCAGTTAGCAACGGTGGAGTATATACTTTTTGTTGTGCTCGATATCAACATAAATATGGATCCAACTTTTATGACAAGTCAATTCTAATGCAAAGATTGATAACACCAGAGTCTATATATAGTCAGAATTTTATGCAATTTGGTATTAAAAATAGGTATGCTTTAAAATTATTAAAATATTTTACATCACTTTTTTTTCTTTAATATACCAGATTTGAGAACTTTCGACATTCTTTTAATCCATAGATTAGAAAATACTATGGATTAGTTTTAAATGAAGAATTTGTGATTATTTATTTGATATTAAAAAACTTCCTAATTTTTGAGGGTGTGGATTAGGGTCTTTGTTAGACATCCTCACCCATATTTTATATTACCAATTCTTCTGAATATATATAAAACAGCTCTAGGAATTTCAATAAAAACAAGAGCTTCGTTTTGTACCAAAGCTCCTCTGCCTCATCGATAATGTGACAAATAATACCGCGCATCGGAAATAGAAAAATCTTTCTCCGATATCTGATCAATATTAATTATGAGAATGTAAACCTTGGCACGGATATATGAACAATACTCACAAGATGCGTGTGAGTATCGTCTTTTCATTTGAATCCATAGCCCAAAATCCACACCATTGACTAGTACGCCACTTCAATAAGACTATAAAATTCATATGATTAGATGATTTTTCTTGCTAAAAGAGTCTCTAAACATTATAGGCCTCCCAAATTCAATAAAATGTGCTTAAGAATCGCTATCGTTAATCGTATGAAAGCTTTATTTTACGTCATTCCTAAAAATTTCTCGTTTCAAAATATAATCAGTAACTCCTATGAATTTAAAAATACATCACGTTAAAAAGCTAAAAGTAGAGTTTAAATAATACTATTGTCTATTGCAATATTTTTTTTCGAAGAAAGATGTCTGAATAAAGAAATAGAATGTAGACGGTAAAAATATTTGTTGGAAACAACGCCAGCAATCAATCTATATGTAATTTAAAATGGGAAGAATGAATAATTACATTAAAAAAAATGTTTCATTTTCCTATATTTGATGTGTTCTATAAACACATGAGGATTGATATTCAGAGTATTGGATATGTGTTCCGAAGCCTGATTTGAATATTAATTTGTTATAATAAACTTCAAGTTAAATGTAATATTTTCTTCTTAATTTAGAAATGATGTTGTGAAATATTTAATCTAATAGTGGCACAGCTGCTCATCAGTCAGATGCTTCAGAAAAATAAATAATATGTATTTATGTACCGTTAGCAATATATTATCAATATATACAAAAAGTTTGTGAAATATCATTAAAATACGAAAAGAACAATATGTTACATGATCCCTTTTTTCACGTCTTTAAATCTTGCTCGTAAATTTCAATAGGCTTTTTGCTTCTGTGATGATGATGAATTCATCAATGCCTTCATAGTGTTCATGGTTTTTGAATGTGAATATATCACAGTTCCAAAGCATATTTCAATAAATCAACAAAGTATTTTTTCAATTTTCAACATAAAAACTGAATAATTGAACAGACAATTATAAAATTTATTCGGAAATCTTCATGTGTCCTTTTTATTGTAATCGCATTGACTAGTACATCTTTTGATCTATTTTGTATGAAAAAAAAAAGGTATTTCATAAGTGCAAAATCGCATCTTTTTTTGTGAAAAGAAGACAATATTCATCTTGCGCAGAATTGTTGAGATAATCTTCAGATATTGACTACAATAATATAAAATAGAGATTTAAAAAAGAATATGAATGTAATAAAAAGGTTGCATTATTAGAAATAAATTTCAATCACAGTCACATCCAATTAACTTTGTTCTTGATTAAGAGAAATGGAATCCTTGCTTTTGATTTGAAAAACAAAACAAGCCAAAATACAAAGATAATTAAATAATTTTAACCGTTTTACTTACAAAAGTAAAACATAATATGAATTTAAAAATCTTCTCTGTTTGCACCTTCCATTTTTCGATTACTAAACCTCTTTATGGGAGAGTAACCAGTGTATGACGTAGATGCACGTAACCACCTATACGTAACGCCGTGAATAGCGTCACTTTTTTTTCATACATTGTTTTTTTTTGTAATTTCAAGCGATGAAAGAGACAAAAAGAATTTTTTTGCGTTTTCTTTTTCTGTTGACAATCTTTGTTGACGTAGTTACCTCTCTGTGCACACGAGAAAAACTGCAACCATAAATTACTTCACATTTCAAAAGGTTCTCTTAAAAAAGCATGACAGAAGAAATAAATGCTGACGATTGTTGTCATTCGGAAAGTATTACAGAAACAATTCCTAACAACAATGCATCATCTATATGTCAACAGCTTCTAACTCGATTAGAACAATTAAAAGCACCGATAACGACAAAAAGTAACGCTGACCAACAAATATGGCTACAGTTTCTTTCTCTCATGCACGAAGTTCTTCAACATCCATTATTGGATGTTGAACTCTGTTACATAGAATCTGCTAAACTTTTAGCACATCTAGTACAGTTGACCGATTTTGATTCTATGATAAAAGAAAAGTGCATAGCTGGCGAGACCACTTTTACATGTATCGCGCTGCTAAATCAAGTGCATTTTAAGAATTATCTTCTACTAACGAATGAAAAGCAAACATTACCAAGCAATCGAATGTATTACATTCATGTGTATCTTCTTTTGCTCATCCTCGCACACTCAATTTTCTATGCTTCAATAGCTACAATTGATGAACGACAAAAGATTGAAAATAATCTTGAGTTTTTTACTCTACTTATTGATCACATTGACCAATGTATGCCAGAGCATTCTCAGAAAATCGTGCAACAAGAGTATGGATTGGGTGATATTAATGAATTTATTCTTTTGTTGTTCTGGAATGCAGCAGATCAAACAGTGCTTGTTCCAACATTGCTCAAATGTGGTCTTGCGAAGAGAGTAGTCACTTGGCTTGCTCAGTCGATCAAATTGAAAGAAACGAGTCGACGACCCCTGATCAGTATTATTCATAATATAGCAAGACATGATGACGGGGCCGATGAGCTCAACAATCATGGAGCTATTGACGTTATCAAACAATATCAGAAGAAGTAAGTTCATTTTGAGTGTCGATCGTACATTTTCTATCTGTATATAGTCAACTAGAAAAAGTGGATTCGAAAAGTCTTATTGCTTCGATGGCTTTGGCTCTTCTTTCGACACCTGAACAACTTAAAAATGACAAAAAAGGCATGAATGTTGTACTAAATCAACTATTACAACTAGTCATGAACGGTGCTAAAGGTGCTCGATACCGACATGATGGATTTCATGTTAGTGAACCATTGGCAGTCATGGTGAAAATGTTCGTCGTCGAAGAACGCACTCTTGACTATGTACTATGTCATGCCGAAACAGAACCTTCATCGGATATGTACTCGACTATGCATCTATTCATCTCGTTACTATTTGATTTTAGCCAAGCATTAAAAGGAACAGATCGACTTGAGCAATTTACTCTCATTGCCATATTCAATATTCTTTGGAGTATATCATTTCAACCAAACTATGCGAAGGAATTAATCAAAAATCAACAATTAATAGAAACAATCAAACGTTTTATAGAGGAGAATTATGAAAAAAAAATTCTAGAACAATACAAGCCACGTTCAATGGAAGGAATCAAAGAAGCAGCGCATGGTATTCTTCACAATCTTAATATAGATAACCAAATCGAGACGACATCCAATAAGCAAAACACTATTTTCGATACCCTTCTATTAAATCCATCGAAAGCGTAAGAGAAAAGTTTTTTTTTAAATATAACTCCAGGAGTGTTATTATTTGATATTCCAGTATGAGCAGTAAACCATGGATTATGATCAGTTATTGTCATGATAATAACATTTTTTGTGATAAGATACTCAGTTTCCTATACAAACGCAATGACGCCTTTGAAATATGGATCGATCGAACTCACTGTCAAACATCAGGTGACTTGTGGGAGTCAATTGCTGATGGAATGGAGCAAGCAAATATCATTGTATGTCTTGTTTCAAGTCAATATTTTGAAAGTAAATCATGTCGCAAAGAATTTATATACGCAGCTGATACACTGAAGAAAACAATAATACCTGTGTTGCTAGAGGATTTCAAGCCTAAAGGATGGCTTGGTGAGTAATAAAATCATTTTATTCTCATTCTCTATTTTCATATACAAGGTATTCGTATACCCGATATGAAATATGTTCGATTTCGAGATCTTCTTCAGCCTGAGCAAACTAAAATAGACGAGTTATTGAACACAATTCTTTTATCACTCTCATCATCAAAGTCATTGGTCCATGAAAATATCTCAGCACCATCTCAGCACCACTCTATAAAACTAACTGTTGCTGGTGCCACTGAAGAAACATCTAGTCTTCGTCCATTCAATCAATGGACACCCGAGAGTAATGATGTTGCCGCATGGTTTACACAACATCGAATATCGAGTAAACTTCGTGATTTATTCGAATTTCAAACAACTAAAGAAATGATTGACTACGGTGAATTGCTGATTAAAAATCGTGAAAAACAGATGAATATTTATACAAAAATATTTGCTGAGAAATATTATGGTAGTGAAATGCCTCCACACGAATTTTATCGATTTGCAACAGCCTTGGAAGAATTAGTTAAAGATAAACGTTCTTCTTCATCTTCTGCCAATAAAAACTCATCGATACCAATCAAATCGAATACCTGTGTTATTTTGTAAAAGTTCGGAATAAGAATCTGTACAATTTTTATTCTGTTCTAGTCTTGAAAATAACATGTAAACAATTGAATAGCTTACAAAAATCAAACTATCATATCTCTCAAGATATTCTCTACTGAAATGTTTGATTATCATTTCTCGATTCAATTCTAATTTTGTAATTCAATTAACAATAAAGATATGCATATTGGGTTTTTTACCTGTAAATTTTCTTTCTATACAGTACTGATAATGTGTCGAGATTTCTTGACGATGGATAAAGTAATCTGTGACAAAGAGGTTGCTTTTTGCTACTATAGACTTCACCAGAATATGAGACATAAGAATTCTTTCAAAGTAACTGAAACTACAAAATTTCACAATGATAAACCAATTGAAGCAACACTATACTATATAAATGGTATATATATCCACAATGGTGTTTCCTTGCATTTGCCGACTCCTAGTCGACTTCTCGGACATTCGGGCCGCGTCGGTTGCTACTTGAGTTACAATTTCTCTATCATTAACTCGGCTTTTTTTGTCAAGTGTTTTTATTTTAAAAAATTTAAAAACTACATCTGTACTTTATATATAAATGTTGCCATCAATTTAAAATATTCGGACTCTTCTGTCACAATTTACAACACCAGTTAGTTTTTAAAGTAATTTGCTGTTTGAAAGACGGATGTTGTCGAGTGCACTATTGGCAATAGAATGGTGTACAGAGTCACGTGTCAGTAGCATTACAATGGAAAATAATATTATTTTCAAAGATGGTTCATTTCATTCTCTATAAAATTCTATCGTTTAATTGACACGAGTGGCACCTGCAACACAATGTTTTAAGACTTAATTCTAATATTTCTTTGTGGTGAATATTAAAATATATAAATTTTTAAAAAACTACCAGTTGAATCATTTGCAAAGTTCTAAAAAGAAGACGCTGTTGGTAATCATGAGCAGTACATTGGTCGTAGAGACGATTATTAAGTATATCATCGTTTAATGTGAAAAATATTCTGAAGTGTACTTATATTCAGGGATCTGCAAAATTACTTTTCTTCGGTCCCGGTCAATTTCTTCAGTGATCCAAACCCTTGTTCCAATTAATTTTTTTATAGCTTCTGTTTCTGATTTTCTTCCCTAAAAACAAGACCATTTTTTCAAAATTAGGCGTAAATTTTTAGATTAAAGTGTGTGTTCCCATTTAGTAATTTAGTTGTTATTTAAAAAAATCCGAAACTACAATAGCAACACTACTCAATTCATACTAGATATAGGCGAGCAGCGAAAAAAATATTACAATCAAAAGAGCGATTCAATTGCTATTAAACCGAATTCATGTATATTGCATACCAATTTATCAATTCAAAAACCTGAGCAAAGCTCACAATAGTCTCGATTCTTGAAATCAGAATCAAGATACGTGGAAAAATTATCGAAATTGTAAATAAAAATGGACAATTTCTGGACTTTCTAAGTCACAAGAAGAAAATAAACATGAAAATGCATAGTCTAGTTCGAAATAAAAAAGACCGTAACCAAACAAAAATGTCAGTCCCGGAACGGTCATTTTGCAGCCCCCCTACTTATATAATACAAAGAAAAATTAAACCTGTCAGAATAATATTATTTTTTTGTTGAAAAGATTATATCATGTACAAAATGGCTTTTATGACTTAGCATAGTTGCATTATTATAAGTACAAGAATGATATTCTTTACTATAAGAAATATTTACATAGGTATCGACATGTTTCTATAGCCTATATCTGTTTGATTTAAGTCAGTGGTGTGAAGGAAACATGGGTGTGCGGGTGTGGATGGGGCGAGTGTCGGTGTGGGTCATAATGAAACGAAGACTCACATTCACACGCATACCCATACCCACATCCCATCCAAGCCTCATATCCACACGCCAACCTTTTTGGTTGTAGGATGGGTTTTGGTGTTGATCGTTTTTTGGTCACGACCACACGGGAGCCTACACCCATTTGAAATGCTAAATTGTTAACTTTGGAGTAAAAGAATCCCCAGTTCTACAGCCTGGAGTATACTGTAAAAGTATTTCTGCTGGATGCTTTGATTCATTTTGTGCTTCGTTCACTAGAAAATCGCTGAATACTGAGGTCTAAGGGTAGAAAAATAGTTTCGAAAGTTTTCTTTTATGCTCTAAACGTTTGTTGAAATTGTATTTCATAGAGCAGGTGTATTTCAATTCTACTGTTTACTAGTACCGAGCGAATTTTGGATGCTTTATGTTCCTCAAAAATAGCCAAACGAGGTACCTGCTCGATATTCAAGTCTCAATTCCACTTCGTTTTCATTTATGACTCGACACTGTAGCAAGAGCAGCATCTTTTGCGTTCGTTCTCGCACCTCGCAAGAGGGTACATAAAAATCACACCCATTGGTAGTCACACTTCAATAACTACGACAATTTTCATTACAATATGTGACCATTTGCATCACAAACGCGAGCAAAAACAGTCGTGCAGAAACTGTATGTAATGTTTAATAGTTTGTAGGATGCTGGCAACAACGCGTAGTCTTCAGTGCGAGAGACACAATGCACATGTCTATGTTGAAGTAATCTCGGCAGCAGCTGAACGCAGGAGTCTCTCTAGCATTGGTAATGCCAAGTATATCCCGACCTTGCCGAATGATGTACGTAGTGCTCGGCTCTCATCGGACCCGATAACGACAGTGGTTTCTCAGCAAGTGGAGAATGATCCAAAATCACTTGAGTCTTCACCAAGAGCGAGAGAAAGTCTATTTCGACGATATCGATGGAAAATGACCGATTACTTCTATATTCACTTAATCGTGTTCATCATGATGAGCGTAGTAGGAGGTCTCATTATTTGGCTGATCGAAAACTACTCTTCATCTCGTAATAAATTCATGACTGTACAGTACGTCGATGCTTGGTTTGTTACTAGTACGTGTATATTTAGCTGTGGTTTGACTACAATGGACTTTGCAAAACTATCACGCGCTACANATAGTGTATTAGATAGAGCTCTTCATCCGCTATTCAAATCACTATTTGGATTTCTTCAACAAATCATTTTGAACAAAATAGTTCACGAAACTAATTTCGCTTAAACTTTTGCATTTGACTATAGTTAAAATTCTCGCTATACATAGTGGGGAGAGCTGCAAAAACTTAGAGCCAGAACTTATAAGAAATTAACAGAAAATTTTCATCACATCAAATGAATTTTTTATTTTTTAATATGATTAAGATTAGTTAGAATTCATTTCAAATTAGTAGTTCTGAATCATTTTTAATGAAATTTTTTATACAAAAATATTGTAATATGACTATCTATAATAGAAAATGAAAGTCATAACTCCAAGACTCATTCTTTGCAATTTGTTCGAGAAAATATTTTATTTCTTGAATATATTCATTTCATAGCAAATCAGTTTAACAAAGGAATAAACAAAATATTATTTTCACATTTACTAGCACAAGTTCTACTAATTTTTAATAGTGTTCCGATCAAATGTTCCAAATTTAACATATTTTCTGCGCGAATCGTAAATGAAAATAGACAAATGATTAAATAATTTTAGCATAAAAAATTAGAAGTATCAAGTAAAGATCGTTGTGGATCATTTTTTTCCATCATTCGAACTGTCTTTGGCTAGACTCTATAAGAAGCGATACTTTTATGAATATATTTTTGACTGTGCAGAGCTGTGATTTCGAACAATTTACGCAATAGACGTTACATGATATAAAAGATCATTAAAGCGGAATTCTATGCGTATATCTGGTAATTCATAACATATTTCACGTCTCTAAAATAAGAGGACTTTTTCGAAATATCAGAAGTATAAATGGATACTGTCATGGATAGTCAATCATAAAAATACAAAATTCGCAGAAAAATGTTTGTCTATCAGACTATTTAAAATTGTTTCATGATGATTTTAGTAAATAAATATACAAATATCGGTACTGGAGTCAAAATATTGGACATTTTATAAAACTCTGTTGGCTAGAGAAGTGCTCAAGTAGACTTTGAGAAGTATACGATGGGCATGACGAGAGGTTGAAATTTTGAGTTATATATATATTTTGTTCATTTTGTGCCTGTTTTGAGATTGTCGACGGTTATCGAATTACGAGCGCATCCTATCGATGTTTTGATCCCTTGAGGAAAATAACCATAGCGGGGGGATACTTTCGAGTGTAGGTGTAGGTATGCATATGACTCGTTACTTCATCTACATCCACACTCTATCAAGACGTGCCACATTAATACGACACTTATATTGACCGTCAAAAAACAAATAGTAAATGGTAATACATTCGTACTTTTCGATCAAATAATTGTCCGCGAAAGATGTTTCGGCGAGGTAATCTTCGATGAAAATTCTTCGGACGAATAATATTATTCGTCCACCGACTACCTTCTCCTCAATTCCATCTATAGTGAAACGGCTTCTTATCGACATATTTCATTGGCACCTTTATGTATATTTTATTGTGTACAGAGTATGCTTTCAAAATATAACTTATAATAACATCGAAAAAGTCTGAACAACTTTATGAATTCTAACTGATTCAACATAATCATATCTGAGTATTTGCTTTTGCTGATTTTTTTTCTCACGTTATTGAGAAAAAATATATTGATGATGATTACCAAAATCCACCTTTCTGCATTTGTTTATCAAAATTTCTTCTGCACAAATTAAATTAATCACTCAAATGTTCTCCTTGTCAACACTTCGTTTTTCTGTCTATTGTTTGATCAATGTATAATATTAAGAGTTCGAATTCTCAGTTGGATTTCTCTATTAGAAGAAACCAATTCAGGTCGATTTTTTGTTTAGTTGTACAGTAGTTCAGTGATTACTATTGTCATTATTATATTTCATTTCAATTAAACAAATCAGAATCAGTTCAATGATTTCTGTTGCCAGAGTTATGTGATGTACATGTTATGAGAATTTTTCCATTGAGAAGACAATAGTTATTTCTGATCTTAAACAAGTCTTGAATTGTCGTTGAATATGCGAGTTTTATTCAGCATCACTACCTTCGTCATTGCCAGAATTTGTTGTTATTCTTCATAATTGTAACATGAAAACAATGATTTATCTTGAACTGTGGTGATACGACAGAAGATATTTTGTTTTCTCAAAAAGACATTTATTGTTGCTTTGAATACTTATTCTTTATTTACGTAGATCCGCCGCTTTCGATCGTATATATATATATATACTTTGAGAAGCGTACAGCTGAAAATTGAAGAATACAAATATCCTCAATACTACTACAATCACAGAGAAGTCCTACCTCTAAAGTAGATGATCTATCTTCCAATGAGCATTACCGATAGAGTCCGAATAGTTGCCATTGACTGCATGTGCTATCGTCCCTAGTTAATATTCAAAATGATGAGGCAAGCAAACATATCACAAAAGCTCAAGAGTACTCTCCTCATACGGAAAGTGTTTGCTTAGCTGCTTAAAAGCCTGACATGAATCGAAAGCCAGTGTATATAGTCCCGAACTAGAAAGTTCGGAAAATTACGAAGAATGCATTGGCAGTTTTCGGGCGCAATCGAGGGTGTGGGTGTGGGTCTTCTTTTCACTCACACCCGCACAATTGACTATGTACTATGTCATATCGAAACAGAACTTTCATTAGATATATTTTCTATTATTCATCTCTTCGTCTCGTTACTATTTGATTTTTCCCAAGCATTAAAAGGAACCAATCGGCTTGAATAATTTTCTCTTATTGCTATATTCAATATTCTCTGAAGTATATCATATCAACCGAACTATGCACAAGACTTAATAAAAAATTAATAATTAATAGAAACAATCAAACACTTCAGTAGATGAGAATTATAAACAAAAAATTTTAGAACAATACCAGCCACGTTCAATGGAAGATATCAGCAAGGCAGCTCATAGTATTCTTCATAGTCTTAAGATAGATATTTCAAACAAGCAAAGAAATGCTTGACTACGCTGAATTGCTAATTAAAGATCGTGAAAAAAAGATAAATACTCATGCAAAAAATATTTGCTGAGAAATACAATAGTAGCGAAATATCGTCACATGAGTTTTATCGATTTGAAACAGTCATGAAACAATTACTTAATGGTAATCATTCTTCTTTGTCTTCTGCTAACAAAACTGCATCAATACCAATTCAATCGAACGTCTACAATATTTTGTAAAAATTCGGAGTAAGTATCTGCGCAGATTCAATTATACACTAACCGTAAATGTAACATGTTAACAATCGAAGAGCTTAAAGAAATCAAACTATCATATCTCAAAAAGATATTCTCTAATCGAATGTTGATATGATAACAACCTTATGCTTGATTATTATTTCTCAATTCTATTCTAATTTTGTGATTTGATTAACAATAAAGATATATATATATTGAGCTTGCTATCTGTAAATTTTGTTTCTATAAAGTATTGATTATGTATTAAGAGTGTTCGGCGAATTATCTTGAATAATGAATAGATAACTTTGAGTTTGTGAACGATTTGACGATGGATAAAGCAATCAGTGGCAAAATATTTGCTTTTTATTACTATACGATTCATCGAAAAATGAGGCATAAGAATGTTTTAAGTCAACTGATTATAAGACGATTGAAACTAAAAATTTTCGCCATCATCAACTAGTTTACACACTTTTAAGGTGATCTGCGACCGGTCACGAATGTCCTAATTACTTAATGTCAGATCCGATCGAACCGATCGGCGTTTTCAATTCCCTAGTAGACTCGATTAAAGTTTTGACCTCAATTTATACAAACTATTGACATTGACTTTCCTCAATACACAACCAAAACAGTTATCTGCTATCCATAACGGTTTATTCGACTGCGAAACACGATTATAGATGAGAGCTAAGGTAGATGGACAAAAATTAGAATGTACCGAACAGATCGTGCAGATATGTGGACATGTTGATTGAGAAATTTGTCGTGGAAATACTCTTTTCAAAACCATTTACTCACTTTTTAGTGAAGGTAGAAAGTGTGTTCGTGCGTGAGTTAATCATATTTTTACTCGCTCGTCCGGTAAATTGAATCATCTTTTGGAGAGCTTCATACCATATCATTGTACTCATTGTTCATTGTTTTTCTTTACACAATTAAACATAATCAATTTTAGACAATCCTAGACTAAAAACATCTAGGATTTCTTATTTTATGCCTCATGTTATTTGTTTTCTGGAAACAATATCATCAATGAAAAGTTTACGATTTTTTTAAGAATAAAAATCTTTTAAACTATCAACAGCTTTTCGTTTCTGGCATGATGTTGAATTGTTGAATTCGATGATTTCTTTTCTCGCTTATAAACAAGTTTCCTTCCTTGTCTAATCCTATGCTATACACATCTCTGAATGAGCCGGTACCGGTGCCCCATGCGTTTCCATTAGCCAGTCGCATACCTTCGCTTGCACCTGGAGCCCATTTCATTACTCGACTATTGTCAGTATCGGCTATGTAAATGTTGCCATACTGATCGAGTTCAACATCCCAGGGACTATTCAGTTGATTAGCAGCTGCACCTTTTCCGTTTCCACCTGCCACAGTAATACCTTCGCTTGCGCCTTTCTTCCATTTTTGTACTCGGCTATTCCACAAATCAGCGATGTAGATCGTCTCGCATTGATCGATAAAGATACCACGTGGTCCACTTAGCTGATTTGTTGCCGACCCACTTGCACCGGTGCCCGCTACAATTACACCTTCATCTTTCTCAGGAATCCATTTAACAATACGGTCATTGTAAAAATCTGATATGAACAATGTGTTGGTTTCTTCATGAACGAAACTACCCTAACAAGCACCTATCTGATTTAGACCTTTTCCTTTACCATTTCCTCCAGCTACTATTACTCCACTGGTCGCACCTTTTGCCCACATTTGAACGCGAGAATTATCGGTATCCGCTACATACACATTTTCATTTTTATCAACATAAACGGCCCACGGCATATTTAATTGATTGGATCCACTGCCTCGACCATTGCCACCCGCAACAGTAGTCCCCGCACCGCCGATGGCTTTGAGATTGAACTTCTGAACTCGATGATTTTCAGTGTCAGCAATATAAACATTATTACGTTCACGATCAACAAATAAACCGAATGGTGAACCTAAATGAAAGGCATCAGATCCGAATTGCCTGTCGGTACCAACAATGGGAGTTCCTTGTGTTGACCATTCAGCCGTTGCACGACAGTTGTTTTGATTTCCATAATCACAATTGATTGTTGCTAAACAAAAGCAAGAGAAATCAATGAAATACATCATGCACGATTCTGATAATCTATCTCAATGTTGAAAGAGAAACAAGCTACTCGATTCAGGATATAAATCAGAACGAGAATCAACATACGTTTATGAGTGTTCCAATCGCAAACTTGAATTTGTTGATTCCAAACTAACCCAGCTGGGCATTGCATCAAATAATGTATGCCGTGTGCACATTGGTAGAAGGAATGTGTATTTTCTGGATTAGAAAAGAGGCCATCGCCTGGACATTGAAAACCATTAGCAACTGAATATAATGATACAAAGATAAGCACAAATAATAACTTCATTGATGTGATCGAATTGTGTTGACTAAGCAAAATAAAGCAAGCTGAATCATTCTTTTTATTCTCGTGATGATATCTTCTCGAAGCCGAGTAGGTGCTTTACTTTTCAGATAACAAAATTAAGCCTAGTGATGACGTAAATGTATTATTTCTTTTCTTTTCGGTGTATCAAAAAGTGCATGTAAAATGAAAATGAGAACCTATATATATATCAAAAAAATTTGAAGAAATCTGATTTTAATGGATTTTTTTATTACTAAAAATCGATTAAAATAGCACTATTTTAATTGAATGTCTAGCCAAAAAAATCGATTAAAATCAGAGTTTTTCTGTTTTTCTTTTTTACATGACTCAGCCATTTCACTACATTGGTACCTATTATTTGAGTGTAATCTATTCTTACTTTTTATCTTTTTTAACATATTGTTGGTCGTCCACTGTTTATAATATATTTTTAGCTGTTAATCGATTTTAATTTATTGTTACTCTTTGATTGGTTTTCACCATTCGTATCGAAGATGTGCGTTTTTCTCGAGATTCGAATGCAAAATCCTCGATTTTACATGGCTTTGCAGATTTCTCGCGTTTACAAGCTATGTAATTGCCACTAAGCTGATATTAGGCAAGCATAGTAAAATTGGAACTCCTGTAGAGTGTGAGTGTGGATGGGTGGCTGTGGATGTCGCATTCCATGTATCTTACTATCATTCAACACCCACCCACTCCCACACTATCGGCAACAGAAACTTCGTCTTTCTCTTTTGATGATTGCATTGTTTTTGCTATTAATTGTCAAATAATATCAAAAGATTTCATATGGTTTTCGTGCTTCTGAGTTTTTATGTGATTATCGATATTAGTTTTATCCCAGTAATGTACTGAAATTGTTGATTGCAAGCGATACATGTCGCTTAAGATAGATCGAATTTATATTCCTGCAAAAGCGTTTGATATTCGACCACCTTTAGCCATTCTCTGCTGAAGATGCCTTGTTTCAATGTCTTGTTTTTGGCTATCACCTTCTGATGACATTTGTGGTTCTTCAGCAGTTACTAGTACTTCAGTGTCATCCTCTTTAACAATAATGCGGTCATTAGGATCTTCACTGATTCTTTCTGTTGCAGAATAATTATTACTAGCTTTATCGATTACTTACTTTCGTCAAACAAACACATAATGGAAAGAAAATATCGATTTGTATGCATTAGATGGTCAATAGAAAATATAACAGAAAAGAAAACATAGCAGCAGAGCGAAATGAAAACGAAATATATGTATTGACAGGTTTTCCTAGTCAGTGGAAAACAGGGATTACTCGTATCAAAGAATTAAGAGGCAACAAAAACATCAACAAGTATTGGTAAGAGTTACTCTTTAGAATTTCAAAAATGAAAAAAAATGTTGGTTAAACATAAATCGTATGATATCTAAAAGAGCAGGAAAAATGAAAAAAAAACAGAAGGGACAGAAAAAAAGCAGAAGAAATGGCAGCACTAAAGTATTCGTAGACAGTACATGAACTAGTCTCTACAGAAATTGGTCGGATTGTTTACTGTTTGAACGAATATTCGCCTAATGTTCATCCGTTTCATCTAAACAAACTGTCTTGACTAAAATGTTTGTCACGGCATATGGGTCACAGTTGGCAGCCGGACGTCTATCTTCGAAATAGCCACATTGTTCTTCATCAACTTGACGNAAGAGATTTTAGTAACAGATCTTTTACTTCTTTATTGGCCACACAAAAGTTGAAATCTCTGTAAATGTATAAGTGTTGAAAAGGAAAATATTTTTTTTAAACATATATAAAGAAATATTAATAATGAAGTAAACGTTTGACAGAAGAATAAAATTTCCAAATTTGCCTTTGTGCTCTAGCCCAGAATGGAGCATTGTTTTGTATCGCAAAACACCATTGCAATAGTTTTTCATCGCTTAATGAATTCATAATGCCTAACATTAATTCATCGATACCTTCCGGCTTTTTTCTAATATCGTCTACTATGTAATCAATCGAATTGACTTGTGTACAAAGACCAATGGGACCATAATAATAAATATTATTTTCGACTTTTTTTTGTACGTGATGACGAATCAGTGTATCTTGAAATATTTTCAAAATGATATCTGCTTCATCTGATGCATACATGTTTGTTACAACCATTGCAATGAATACTTTCAAATTTTTGCATGCTTCAACGATACCTTTGAGTTGTTCAAGTTCAACATAGGTACCTGGTGATGCACAAAAAATGAGACAAACTGGATTTTTTTTGTTAATTAAATCTTGTACATATTCTTTGACATCTAATATTGTCCAATCTTCAATACCCGGTGAATCCCAAATTCGAATCGAACTCGTTGATGTTTTTGTCGTGTTTTCTTCGGTTTCTGTAATATAAGATTCTTCGTACTCATAATAACTAAACTCTTTCGTACATGCATTACGTCCAGCATGTGTTTGAGCCACATCTTTCTGTAGAATGGCATTGATCAGTGTACTTTTTCCAACTCTAGGTGAACCCATTAGCATGATATCAAACGTTTTTCCTACAGCTTCATGTAGATAATTTTGTATATCTTGTCGTGGTATTTGCTGACTAGTGGCATGAACAACATCATGAAGAATACTCTGACTATTTGCATTGCTCGATGATGATGCTATTGCATTGGAGTTTGAAACAATACTCATCTCCGTTGTTTCCTGGCTTGAGTCTTCGATTGCATGTGACAGAGAAGTTGGCAAAACTATAAACAAAATGGTTCGTTAAGTCTTGAATCAGAAACAATATTAGTGACTAAGACAAAATAAACTAATAATTCTCTTCATGTTCTAGCAAAGTATCAGATACATATAATAATAAAAATAGACTATGACTTATCGATTCTTTCTAATTATTATCGACGAATATATGGTAGTTACTAAAAGATCCCGGTAATAATTGAATCCTGTCTCAACTTTCATAGATAGTCTTCACATTTTTATCACCAATAGATCTCAGGTAAGCTAGCTAATAGGTACCACCCCATTCTTCTGCTATGAGTGTGCAATAAAACAGAAATCGATTACAGGAGCACGAAAAGACAAGCGAACATTTTGCTTGTGAGATAGCATTTTCGCTCAGTTTTTTCAACAAACGATAAACAAGGTGTCTGCGTATATAGAACCCTCATATGTTGATCGGTTTATATTTGTTATAAAGAAATACTCTTTTTGAGTCATAATAGTCTCGAAGACGTGTAGACCTGGGTAATCCAATGAAACAGAAAATATATGAGATAAGGGAAATCATTTTGGAGTAAAATTTCTCGTAGAAAAGCTTTCAGCACAATACCTTCGGGATTCAAATGTGAAACACGATAGATTCGTTCCACTTGTTAAGCAGAGACTCAACCATGTAAATCATCGTGACACTAGGGAGCTTTATCTATTCCATCTGTCACGATCTGTGGTTGGAAGGAAGGGATCGTGTTTCAAAAAAAAAATCTTTTTAGTTAAGTTCACTTTACCGTTCATCATCATTCTTTCTTGGATCAGTAAATTTCTTAACTTTTCCTTTTCAGCCAAGTACTCCAATAACCATCTTGTCCGCATAATTAGCTGATATCGCCCATCTTGCTGTTGTGACTGAAATATATTATCATTTTTTAATTCAACTTCATAGTTTAATGCTAAATAATAATGACTTGGTTCTGGTTCATTGATTCTTTCACAAACTTTTCTAATGATTGCATCGTACGTAGTTGTTGATGGGATCACATTAATATTAACCATTTCACCTGTTCGACGAACATGAACTTGAATAGAACAGATTGTGGATTCCATGTGCTATAATTGCAGAAAACAGAAGATCTTATTTATGTTTCATAGGTTCTAATTTTCAAATTCATTTTCTATTGTTTTCAAAGTTACAATCAACATTGTTCAACTGATGTAAGAACTGTCAAACTAACTACACACGTACAAGATAGAGCCATTTGAATCATTATAGCGAAATCTAATGACATTTGTAGCGGTTCATCAGGAGATTAAAACCCAGACTAGCTAAAAGTCTGTCGGACATGGTGATAAGAATGAAAGTTGGATAGAAAAATGCTGAGAGCTCTGGTGTGCATCATTTCGCTCTTATATCCTATTCTAACTGATACGTCATCCCAAAAGAATAGAACGGCATCATTTTCTGGTTGAATAACAGAATCGTGTTCATTTATGTAAAAAATTGTACAACGTCTGGATTTGACTGAAAAGAAAATTGAAAATGTATTGTCCTCTAAAATATGTAAATTTGATAGTTGAATGACACGATTCTGCTTCATTTTATTTTGCTTCGACTTCGAAAATGAACTCCTAACTTTCCCCTATAGACGAGTAAAGGATCGCTTTCATTCACTACTTGCATTCTGCAGAAAAAATACGGCTTATTTTGTGTGAAAGTGTAACGTTTTTTTTTTTACCGTCTAACAGAATTGAGAAGACAAAATTCAAAAGAATTATTCACTTCACCTGTACACCTTTGCCCATAAAAAGGATGAAGAAAATATTGACTTGTTGTTTATTCTTCATGAAAAAATCTGTTTTTCGTAATTCATTTGAAGGTTACAAAGGAAAAAAGAATAAAAGAAAAAGAATTTGGAAATTATGACGACGTACCATCACTGCATCACTCACAAATCAATTGTGACTGTGGAACTTTCCGATATGAACATTATTGACAGCGTGATGTAAGGCACTCTATATTGGAAATAGAAGAAGTAAATGACTCATGCATTTATTTTTTTCATTCATTTCGGGATGCTGAGAGTACTGACTGCCGTCGGATTCTTCCTAGATACCAATCCTTTTATATATTCTCTAATAATTCAATGGAGAAAACAAGTCTATCGATTAATATATACGACATCATATAGGATTTGTTCGTTAAAGGTGAATATGGAACGAATCAGATACCAGAGTATTGGAGATAGCGGCAGTTTTAATTCAGATTCAAAGCCTCAGGACGA